TGGTAATGGCAGTAATGTACAGTCCTTGCTAAAACCCCTGTTTTGTTTTGTAGGTGTAGGGGATACCTGAGGTTCAACTTAAAAAAAGGGCGATAAACGTTTGTTTATGTGTACGAAATTTCCTGCACGATCGTTCAAGACTAGCAATGCTGGACACTTTCAAAGTTCTGGTAACAAGAACTAAAACAAGAGTAGCAGTGAGGCTCTGGGGTCAGTGACTTGCGCGGACCCAAAAAACTAACAAAAAAAACCGTACCTTACAACATTGGGTTGGGGTAATGTATTGGTTTATCTTTTATGAGTTCCATAACTGCATGTCATCAATTCAGTACCAACATGTGCACAGTTTTGATTTTTTTGTGTTTCCGAACATAGTATACACACACATGCACACAAAGATATACATAATATTCAAAGGCCAGTCCTGTCCATTAGAAGGATCAAATGCTTTGCTATGCATAGTAATCAATACCATAATCAGCATCATCATCTAACAATTATATAAAGGTATTGAATTAACAATTTAAAATATGAAATATCAAAACAAAAACACCTCCCAGGTGAAACACAAAAAATAGGTAGCAATAGCTTTTCTTAAAATAGCTCCATATTAGTTTTGTTACATGGTATTTAACGAGTAAATAATTCGCACAGTTGATCACCTTCAAAAATAATGCTGTGCAACCACTAGGAAAATCTTTACAAGACATGTTCATGCCCATAGACTACTTCTACAATAAAAATGGCTGTTATAAGTGATAAAATTAAATTATATGTTTCTATATATACATGAATATGAAGTAATCATCAGTTTGATTGTTATTACTTACTGCTAACATTTAACTTGACAACTGCAGTGGCTTCTCCTTCTTTGTTCTTAGCCTCCACTTTATAGTTGCCCTCATTATCATCCACAATATCCAAGATCTCCAATGTCAGGATGTAAAGGTGAACATCAGCATACATAGAGGTTTTATATTGTTTAGATTCTTCAAGGGGAAGACCATCATGATACCACGCTATTTGAGGCCTTGGAGCAGCTATTAACTTAAACTCAAATACAACCTTTTTTGTGCCTTCCTGTACTGACTTAGGCTTAGCAAGTTGCATGAAGGCTGGTTTAAGACCTTCTGGTTCATCTACTGTGGATTCCCTATAGAAATGAAACCTCCAATATTTACTGGAAATTACTTATTTTTAATAAAACATATAACAAAACTAGCAGATGTAAAGTGAATAAAACATAACTGCAACTAAAATCTACATGTAGCTTCAGCCACTACAAAAAAGAAAGTGTGTTGTACCAGAAAAAAAAAAAAAAAATCAATAGTGTTGGCAAAATATCCAGTGGGCAAATGTCCTTCATGTTACTGTGTTTTGGGATATTTATTACTACATTGATGTATTTTCAAGCTCATATCTTTCATGAATTATTTACAAACATTTCTCTGTCTACAATAAAAGGTTATTGGTGTTGTGTCATCAACAATAAACTGTTTACCTTGATAAAGATTTTCTTGATTGTAAAGTGTGGCCACTGTCAATACTCTCAGCATCTGATACACTCACTACGTATTTCAAGATATACAATTTATTAGTGTTAAAATCGTGTTTAGATGCTACACAAGTATGTAATGTCTTAGTTGATACATTCCTTTTGAACTTTTCGTACTGATGATGCAAAGAATAGATAAAAGATACAATAAAATAAAATAAAATAAATAATCTACCTTATAAACAGTTTTGCTTATTAATGAACGGTAGTAATGTGTCCTTACTATGGGTAATGTTGAAACAATTTGACAGGTATTTGGATTATACTTTTATACTATTAGATTCAAATTAGGCTAAAATGTATCCAACTTTGAACAACGTCGAAAAGGGAATGAGGACGTTTGTTAGGGAGACGGTTCGCACGTGGCGCCTTGGGTCGGACTGTTCCATTTTTTTCGAAGGGGTGTTCCGTTTTGGGAACAATGGCAATTAGTTGGTTATCCAGGTAAGTATTCACGAAATAGACTGAACAATTGGGGTATAGTAAAAATAAATATAATACAATTTTGAAAAATATATATATAGATGTACACTCCATTAATAAACTTAGAAGAACAGGTGTGGCCAAAAACTGTTTTTAAGGTAAAATTATTCTTTTCTTTTAGCATCATGGGTCAATATGAAAAGAATGAAAGCAATGTATAATTTCTACAAGTAAAGTGAATTATAAGATATACATCAGTAATATTTACAGACTGACAACAATTTGAAGATACTGCTAACTTTACCTTCTACAAGAAGTTCGGCACTGCTTGATGCAGCTCCTACTTGGTTTTTAGCAACACATGTATATTTCCCTGAATCTTCTGGAAGTACATCTTTAATTGTCAGAGTACACACTTTCCCATCATATCTAACCTCAAAATCTGGTGATTCAGGTATTAAAGTACTCTGGCGATACCAAGCAACAATGGGTGTAGGGTAACCCTCAACACAGCACTTTAGTGTCACCGGTTTGTTGTCTTTGGTTTTTGTTGTTTCAAGTGGTTTACTGAAGTGAGGGGCTTTGGCTTCACCTTGAAGTGTTAACTCTGTTTTTACACAAACACAATAAATATTTAAGAAAGCCTCACTTCAAACAAATAAAGTCCGGAAAATCATTAGTTTAAATTAATATCAACCACAACATATTTCAGTTCATATACAATTAACTTGCAAATGTGTTATAAAATCATCACCATCAACAAATCAACACTGAAATTAAAAATATAAAACTAATCTGGTCACATGACTTGAATGTACAACAGTATCTACCTGTTCCAGTTGGTAATGCTCGCATACTATTGGCCAGTTCTTCCTCAAGGTGTTCTTCATACTGCTCTGTTGAAACCAGATAAGATGAAGGAACCCACCCTTCCTCTCCAGTGCTTTTCCTCACAAGCCACCAGTCACCATGTGTGCTGTCTAGGATATGCAAATCTTCAGGATCAAAGACAAGCAAAATATTATTATCTCTTGAAAACACTTAAAAAAATATAGTTCTAATTAAATAATAATTACAAACAAGCATCTGTCCTCTGAATACCTTGTTTAAAATACATCACTTCTAAACAACATAAATTTAAATGAAAACAGGACAAAAATAAAAGATACAAAACAATCGGAAATAGAAAATAGCCCAGAAAATGTTTTTCCTCATATATGTTATTTTATTTTATTTTTTGCAATTGAGTAAACACTTTCTAATTGGATCAATTTTACCTTCTCCTTCTCTGATGGACATAACTTCATCAGATTCAGCTAAGTAGCTCCCCAATGCAACAAAATTACTTGGTTTCTCTTTACCCTCCTGTTTACTTTTCAGGTCAGGAATTTCTACCGGCTTTAGAAGATATAAGGAAGATTATGTCATGTAAGTTTATAACGTTTCATTATCTTTTTTGATTATTAAAAAAGAATGTACACCTAATATATAAAGAAGATGTGTTAGTACAACACTCAATATCACATTTGTTTTTTCTCTTGTGATGTTTCTTGTGAACATTATATTACAGTACAGTTCCACTATTAAACCTTAAAATCTACTTCTACTGTAAACTTAGAAGTACTGTAAACAGAATTGCTAGTTCTCAGGATTGAGCTTTGAAGTTAATGGAAGAAGAATAAGGTCACTGCCATTTGGTATGTAATGTTAAACCTTATACACACACCTTTTCTTGTTCTTGAAATTGAATTACAGGCTCTGTTTCTGTGGTGAAAATAATCATCTTCTCTTCCTCACCAGTGGTGGTTTCTTCAACTGTTTGAGTAATTTGTTCTTCTTCAGTCTGGGGCAAGTATATAGACTGTTACAATAACCTTAATCATAATCTTATGTTTTTTTAACAGGAGTAAGAGCTCTTACAAACATATTATTGAATAATACCTATTTAAATTCAATTCATTTATTCAACAACAAACATTTGAAACATAATTTATCAAGACATTAAAATAGTAAAATATTGCTGATGAAAAGGAGACATTTTAAAACTCTTGCAAGCTTGGCATCCAGTGTTCCTTCATAAATTCAGAAGTTAAAAGTATAAAATCAATTAAAATTTTAAACTACAGGACATTTAAATACCAATAAAATTACAATATTAAAATTGTGAGATAAAGTGATTGTCTTGTATAAAATTATTTTGAGTAAGACGATAAAGATGTTCCTTAAATTTAGTTTTAAAATTTGCTGGATTGTTTGTTTCTTCTAAGTCACTACATAGGCTGTTCCAGAGTTTAGGTCCTGTACACAAAATTGTAAAACTGGTAACTAAAATGTCTTATCTTATACAAAATACTGACATATTTGCTAATTTTTTTTGTAAATTTGTGTATTTGTTAAAAGAAATATATTCATCAATGTATACTCTTAATAGTTTTCCTAAAATCTCAAAAATATTTCCTGATTTTATCAATGATTATTCGCTGTTCAATTTTGTGTACCAATCTTTCAATATAAAACCACTACAGGGTCAGATCGGGACAATGGACAATCTATTCCACTAATTTCAGGTTAAATGAGTTATTCAGGGGATTTGTTTTGCAAATCATGATTTGTTACACATAAGGTTCAAGTTATATTTCTCTATGGTAAAACAAAAGAAATGTAAACCAATTAAATTTCTCAATTCCAGCACTTAAGGATCAAAGGATTGGGGGGGGGGGGTGGTACAACAATTCTCATTATGAGAATCATAATAATATTGTGATGTTTGTATACTGTATCTGCCACCAGTTTATAGTACTTAGCAACTCTAACATAAAACTGAAAAGTGGACAGTGGATAGAGCTTTGCTATAAAGACTTTTCATCTATGTTTTGTTTGTCTTGATCCTCAGCACAGCTCATTAAGCAGGCTTATTGAACCATAAAAGTTCATAATAAATACATTATGGTGCTTGGCTTTTGTTACTAAGATTCATTTTCCATTTTTTTAATTTAAAAAAAGAATATCTATCTGTAGAACAGTTAAGATTTGTATCACCCATCTGTAATATTTGAAACAAAAATGATCTGTTTTGTAAAACATATATTTGTTTTCTTGGGTACAAAAATATAATAACCTAACTTTTAAAATAACATGAAATAAATGAGTCATTTTAAGGTGATTTGTATTTCTAAAAGTGACAATCACTATACCAGATTCACTGAACTTAAGTAATGAATGAATTATCTTCAGAAATCGTTTTTAGTTTATCAATAGAGATTGAGTCTTTCTTATGTTATTCCGGAAAACCACAACACACTACAAAATTTGACAATTGATTGTAGGCCCCTATCATGCTTTAGATACATGGATTCTTTTAACTTTGTATTGTGTGCATTAATGTTACAACTATATCAACCACCATCAAATCAATCGTGATGTTGGTAATATATGAGTGAGATACTTACCTGGATAACCTTCCCTCCCTTCCTACCCTCGCCGAGATCGTGTCGATCTCTAGGGAATGAGGACGTTTGTTAGGGAGACAGTTCGCACATGGCGCCTTTGGTCAGACTGTTCCATTTTTCGAAGGGGTCCTTCGAAAATTTGAAGATTCAAGCACAATATTAATATCCCAGCGAGGAGGTAAAACGCGCGTCGGGGGTCAACTATTGAACATACCTCGTAATAACTGCGATATCACGCTAGAGGAAGAAATGTTCGATCCATCTGGGAACGTCGGTAAAATAGCGCCTAGCGCAGACCGGTATCCAGCAATCGAGCGTACCTGTAACGGAACTAGGGGGTGCTGTGTTATGGAGAGTAATGTGTGACCGGAAATGGTCTGCATCAGTTGGTTGTTACCATGCGCCAGTGATGTTGGAGTATATAGTACAGCAAGATGAAACTATTATGTAGGCCAAATGAATAAAGTTCGGAGTTTGTCGGGTAGTGAAATGATTATTGTACATTTTACGGTGATTAATTAAATTAGCGAATTATTTTGAAGTTCCCTCTTTCCAAGAGGGGATGCAAATGCTTTGTGAAAATGAGTACGCCGCGGTACTCATTTTCACAAAGAAATACACGCAACTGGTGAGCTAACAATATGCCAATACATGAACACCTGAGAAGGAAGGTTCAATCACGTTGTTGCCCAGCAAACGTCTGTACTGTATGGTGGGGAGGGGGATAGGGCACTACTGATGTACTGTGTAGTGGATGACGATGAGGCATAGGCCTACATAATAAGACTAGGGCTAGGCCTAACTAGACAGTGCAATAATATGTGATAGAAAGTACACTTTCAAAAGAAATAAATTAAAATAAAATTTAAAAAAAACAAAAAAAAAAACTAAAACAAATAGGCCTAACTAAGAATAATTCAGTTGCAGAGGTACCTTGTCTGTTCTACAATGCTAACAACCTAGCTAGGACAAGGCATCCATGTGCAAAGCAGTGGTGTTTGTTTATCCATGAAAAAAGCACGCCGGGATAGTTTGCCTTACCAGGAAAAGGTGACGTAATCTAGCTTATGACATATGCATGCTAACTATATTGTGGGTGAGACGTCACCAAAAAATGAATTCTATTATAACCAAAATATTAATAACTACAAGGTTTCTGGGCGTAAATTCCCTTAATACGAATTAAGGGTTGCACAATCTCCTTGCCATACAAATTACAGCTCCCACAGACGTCTCCGTACGCAACCGGAGGGAAAGTAAACTCTATCTGGTACCCACGGGAAATTGTCTGCAGGGTCAAGCTGTCTGAAGCAAGCCGTTCCCATTCGTGGGCGAAAAACATCAGCCTCCCCCCTACCAGACCAGCTCCTACTGAGGAACCGGTCCCCCACCATGAACATCAGGAACGGGGCCCACCCCTCCCCCGCCGCCGTGCCATGTCGGCTGGAGGACCAGCCCGGGCAAATTGCGGATTGGTGGCGGGAGCAGGAGCAGGGGGGACAGCGGCTGCAGCAAAGGGAGGGGATGCGACTGAGGCTGCTGCTGAGGCTAGCGTCTCGCAAACGCCCAACGCTGGGAGCGAGCCGACCGACGATCACGCCGCGAGAACTTTGCCCTTGTCTGAGGCCCCGCTTCTAACTCTCTCGCCCAGGCTTCTTCCTTGGCAGCAAACTGGCCCTCTGCCCCAAAAGAGGGGCAGTCAAAAAACCTGTCAAAGTGACCAGGACTGACCGAGGTAGCCCGGAGAACATTAGCCCTCCGGGCGGCCCCGGGCAATGGCAATGGCACATAACTGGTCAGAAATAAGGCCAACACCCTCCCAAAGGAGAGCAATGGCGTCAGGGACCAGAGTTGGATTCGCGTCGGCGTCAGACAAAAAGGACAAAGCAAAACCAGCCCCATTCACGGCGTGAATGCGGTCCACAAAAGACAAAGCCTCCTCGGCCACGCCCTGTGCTTTGTTCGAAGACACAGTCTTATAAGCTGAAGAGAGCTTCTGGTCTTCTCGCAATCTGCCCTTGGCAGTGCGAGGAATGGGCGGTACCTGAATAAACTGCTTAAAATGGTCCCCGGGGACTGGAAAAGCGGCTGTGCGCTTTGCCGGTCGCCGCGGCAACCGGCTTAGATTTTACTTGCGAATTTAAGCGGAGAATAAGGTCCGGGTGGAGACCTACAACCGGGACAAGATGAGCGGGATGAGCCACAGGCCCGCCCCCAAACACCCCGGGAAGGAGTCTCAAACGAGACACCTAAATGGTCAAGAATGGGCGGCATCGCCCGGCCCACGAGCCGAGAAAGATCGGAGCCGAGAATAACATCCTCAGCCTCCGAATCAGGCTCGGACGGATCGTCCATAGGCGACTCGCCACCCACCCAGACCCCTTCCCCAGAGACAGGAGGGTCGAAGACCGGGGGAATGGACGGGACAGGCACAGCCGAAGCGACCTTCATCCCGGCAAAAACCTCCCTAGCAACACGGCCCACCTGCTCTGAAATCAAGGAAACCAAAGCCGGGTCCAACGGAGCAAAAGGCGAGGAACCTGATGAGGCCAACGCCGCAACAACCCCCGACGGAGCTGGCAACAAACTCTGAGACTGAGGGGCAGTCTGAGCTGCCCAATCAAGAGCCGCCGCAAAATTAGTAGGGGGCCAGCGCGCGCAAACCACGCAAGGCTCCGTCTTGCTACACGAACGGCACAAAGGGCACTTCGAGTGCCTATCGAGCTTGACACTCGGTTTGGGGCCCCCACACGCCGAGCACAACGACTTGCCTGCAGACATAGCGGAAGAGACTACAAAAAAGGATATGTTGTAAAATCAACTTCTTGAACAAAATCCAAGGCAGAAAAATAAAATTCCAGAATCCAGCCACTTCTTGAAAATAAAATCCAAGGCAGAATAATCCTTATCACGAACACGCTAATACGTGGAACAACTCTATGATAGAGCACTCTGAAGGAGGCTCACTTTCCAACAAAGGTCGAAAAGGGAATGAGGACGTTTGTTAGGGAGACGGTTCGTACGTGGC